GGTCTCGACGTAGGGGACGCCCCAGTCCTGGGCTCTGGTCGTGGCCTCCTCCAGAGAGACCTGCCTCCGGTCCTCCAGGTCGCACTTATTCCCCACGACCAGCAGAGGGACCCCCTCCTCCTCCTTCACACGCAGGATCTGCTCCCTGAGGAGAAGAACAAGACACCGGGTCAGACTGGACCGGGACTGGACTGGGACTGGACCGGGGTCAGACTGGGACTGGACCAGGACTGGACCGAGGTCAGACCAGGGTTAGAATATTAATGTGTTTGGCCACGCCCACCAGTGGTTCAGACCAATCACAAATCAGCGTTGTAGTTTGGGCGGAGCTAAAGGTGAAGCCCAAACAAATCCTTGACTAGGATTAGATAGGATAGAAACAAACTTCACAATATTGTTAAAACCTGTTCAAAAATCACAGGATCAAACTGAGGAGCTGAGTGTTTGTGGGAGGAGCAGGTGCTGAGCAAAGCCAAGTGTCTCCAGGATCATCTCCTCCATCCTCTGGCTCCTGATTTGATCCTGATGCCTTCAGGGCGTCGGTTTTATGCTCCAGTACGGAAAACCAAAAGGTTTTCTAATTCTTTTGTGCCCAGTGCTATTAAATTATTAAATTCTAAGGGTTCAGTTTTATGAAGTTTTACTCTGCAATGTGTTATTTATTTTGAGTTCCACTGGTGGACGACAGTTGGACTGACACACTGTGTGTTTGTTTGTGTTTGTGTTTGTTTTGCTCGGAGATGCTGCAAATGAATTGCCTTATGGGATCAATAAAGTTTTCTGAATCTGAATCTGAATCTGAAACAGAACTCAGGTCAAGACCAGGACTAAACCAGTTATTAATAGTGTCTGTGTGTGTTCAGGTGTGTTCAGATGTGCCCAGGTGTGCTCAGGTGTGTTCAGGTGTGTTCAGGTGTGTCCAGGTGTGCCCAGGTGTGTTCAGGTGTGCCAGGTGTGTTCAGGTGTGTTCAGGTGTGTTCAGGTGTGCCCAGGTGTGTTCAGGTGTGCCAGGTGTGTTCAGGTGTGCCCAGGTGTGTGTGTTCAGGTGTGTGTTCAGGTGTGTCCTGGTGTGTCAGTGTGTTCAGGTGTGTTCAGGTGTGCCCAGGTGTGTTCAGGTGTGCAGGTGTGCCCAGGTGTGTTCAGGTGTGCCCAGGTGTGTTCAGGTGTGTTCAGGTGTGTCAGGTGTGTTCAGGTGTGCCCAGGTGTGTTCAGGTGTGTTCAGGTGTGTTCAGGTGTGTCTGGTGTGTTCAGGTGTGTTCAGGTGTGTTCAGGTGTGCCCAGGTGTGTTCAGGTGTGTTCAGGTGTGTTCAGGTGTGTTCAGGTGTGTTCAGGTGTGTTCAGGTGTGTTCAGGTGTGTCCAGGTGTGTTCAGGTGTGTTCAGGTGTGTTCAGGTGTGTTCAGGTGTGTTCAGGTGTGTTCAGGTGTGTTCAGGTGTGTTCAGGTGTGTTCAGTGTGTGTTCAGTGTGTTCAGGTGTGCCCAGGTGTGTTTCAGTGTCAGTGTGTGTCAGGTGTTCCTGTGTGTGTGTTCAGGTGTGTTCAGGTGTGTTGTTCAGGTGTGTTCAGGTGTGTTCAGGTGTGTTCAGGTGTGCCCAGGTGTGCCCAGGTGAGGTGCTGTGCCAGTTTGAGGAGTCATAAACGTGGTGGTACCTGAACTCTGCGGTGGCGGTGAAGCTCTCGTGTTCGGTGATGGAGAAGACGAGGAGGAAACCTTCTCCGCTCCTGAAGTAATTGTCCCTGATGGCGGCGTAGTCCTCCTGACCCGCCGTGTCCAGGATGTCGATCTGGACCTCCTCCCCGTCCAGAACCACCTTCTTCCTGTAACTGTCCGCTTTGGTCGGCTCATAGTCCTCCACGAACTGACGAGACAAGACCCAGACAAGACCAGGACTGAGACCGGACCCAACCAGGACTGAACCAGGACTGAGACTGGACTAAAACAGGACTAAACCCGGTCTAAACCCGGTCTAAACCCGGTCTAAACCCAGTCTAAACCTGGTCTAAACCCGGTCTAAACCCGGTCTAAACCGGTCTAAACCCGGTCTAAACCCGGTCTAAACCGGTCTAAACCGGTCTAAAACGGTCTAAACCGGTCTAAACCGGTCTAAACCCGGTCTAAACCCGGTCTAAACCCGGTCTAAACCCGGTCTAAACCCGGTCTAAACCCGGTCTAAACCGGTCTAAACACGGTCTAAACCCGGTCTAAACCCGGTCTAAACCCGGTCTAAACCGGTCTAAACCCGGTCTAAACCCGGTCTAAACCCGGTCTAAACCCGGTCTAAACCCGGTCTAAACCCGGTCTAAACCCGGTCTAAACCCAGTCTAAACCCGGTCTAAACCCAGTCTAAACCCGGTCTAAACCCGGTCTAAACCCAGTCTAAACCCGGTCTAAACCCGGTCTAAACCCAGTCTAAACCCGGTCTAAACCCGGTCTAAACCCGGTCTAAACCCGGTCTAAACCCGGTCTAAACCCGGTCTAAACCCAGTCTAAACCCGGTCTAAACCCGGTCTCACCTCGTCGTACATAAACTGCAGCGTCAGGGCAGATTTTCCGACTCCTCCACTTCCCACCATGATCACTTTATGCAGAGCCAGAGACGCCTGCCCCTTCCCCTTCCCCGACGCCATGCTCCAAGTCCAGGACCAAGACCGGGACCAAGACCGGGATCAGGACCAGGACCAAGACCAGGACCAAGACCGGGACCAAGACCAGGACCAAGACCGGGATCAGGACCAGGACCAAGACCAGGACCAAGACCGGGACCAAGACCGGGACCAAGACCAGGACCAAGACCGGGACCAAGACCAGGACCAAGACCGGGACCAAGACCAGGACCAAGACCGGACCAAGACCGGGATCAGGACCGGGATCAGGACCAAGACCGGGATCAGGACCGGTCTAAAGGAGACCACCTACAACAACACAGACATCAGAAACACAGGTGCAGACAGGAGCAGACAGGTGCAGACAGGAGCAGACAGGTGCAGACAGGAGCAGACAGGAGCAGACAGGTGCAGACAGGAGCAGACAGGTGCAGACAGGAGCAGACAGGAGCAGACAGGAGCAGACAGGTGCAGACAGGTGCAGACAGGTGCAGACAGGAGCAGACAGGTGCAGACAGGAGCAGACAGGTGCAGACAGAGCAGACAGGAGCAGACAGGTGCAGACAGGTGCAGGTTTATCTTGTGGATTTACTGTTGTTTCTTGTTGAACAGGTTTGAGTTGAAGCTGCATCAGATTAAAGGTCAAACTGTGTTTACAGTTTATCCACCAACGACTCACAACAACAAATACTACAGTACTACAAATACTACAAGTACTACAAAGTACTACAAATACTACAGTACTACAAATACTACAAACTCTGTAGGGATCATTATACTGTAGTTTTATACAGAATCTGTCCTTATGAAGAATAAAACCCTTTTAATTCAAACACACGAAGTTTAACAGATTCAAAACTCTAAACCAGGACCAGACCAGGACTAAACCAGGTCTAGACCAGGACTGAACCAGGACTAAACCAGGTCTGAACCAGGACTAAACCAGGACTGAACCAGGACCAGGAGCTCTTTTATGATCATTATTAAACCGTATTAAGCAGAATCTTCTTGTAATAACCTAAAACGTTTGTTCGAGTTCAATTCAAACTCACGTGTTTTCGTCTTTAAACAAATAATCACAAGAAGTTTGGTCAGAATGAATAAAACGAGAATAAATGCGGTAAAAATGAGTTAAAACTAGACTTTTTATATGTAACCGTGAACATTAACCTGATTAAAACATGCAGATGAAGCCGCAGAGCTGTTTAAAGGTGTGTTTGGTCAAAAAGAGGAACTGTTTTCACTGTTTTTTTTGGTTCCTCTAAACTTTAAACTTTGTGACTTTCAGCCGAATCCACTTCTCTTCCCTGTTCCCGCCCACACGCACTTTCCGCACTTCTGATTGGCTTCACCGCGGAGCGACCGTCCCTACGCGGCCTCTGATTGGCTGTGAGCGCTGTCACTCTGCTGACTGATAAGTGGCCGTGGAGAGTTCAGATAGTGCAGAGAGCCCCGGGGGAATCCAGCTCCAAACCGACAATAAATGAGTTTAAAATGAAGGACGCGGTGAAACAAAGTCAAGACGAGATTCTGGAGTCTTACCCGAGTTTAGCTTCAGCTGCTGTGCGCGGGAAAAGGCGCCATTAAACGAAAAAAAGACAAAAACCAGACGAACTTTTCCCAAGTTTGAGCAAAAAGCGCCGCGGCCCCACCCCGGACAGAGCGCGAGTGTGACGCGAAGAGGAGCCACTCCGACAAACAAACACTGACAAGAAACACTCGGAACAACACCAAAGAATGTGAAACTGAAACATTATGAATCTAAAACAACTTTAAATATGTAGGAATTTCAGCAGCGAAAAAACTCTTCAACAGAAATAATGACGTGTAGAAGTTTTCAGAGTGAGAGCTCTGCCGCTGGAGTCAAAAACCTAACCGGAAGGGACGTCACAAAATTCCTAATAATTGATCAAATTTATATTTTATTAAATATAAGTTTGCATTACTAATTAATATCACTTCAGATTAATTTTATTTTATTTTCATAATCAACCAAAATCAGTAAAATAATGAGATTAATGTGACGTGTCCGTGAAGAAAACGCGGCGCAAACGTGTCCGGTTTGTTCACGTTTATTCTGCATTTCACCTTGTAATTAAAATATGTTAACTTCTGTTGTCGACTGTTCAAAGTTTCTTTAACTTTTATCAAAATAAATACATGAGTTAGAGCGTCCACATGTCCCTGTTTCCCGGGACAGTCCCAGTTTTGAGTCTGTGTCTCTGTCCCAGAAGATTTATACAAAAACACTGATTTGTCCCAGTTTATACAAGAAATGTGTTTTTTGGCTGTTGGTGTCCCTAATCTGACCCTGCAACAGTAAAGAGAGACACAAACTGACATTTGTTTAGATAAAATACAGAAAAGCTGCTTGAAAATGACCAAAACACAAAGAAAATGTGACTTTACTGACTCCTGTTTTTCATGAATGAGCCGAGAGCAGAACAGATTTCCTTAATTTCTCACTTGTTTCACTATTTTATTATCACCAACAAACCGAGACTGTCCCAGGCTTTTATTTTGAAAATCCGGTCACTTTAATCTGAGGGTAAAAGAAGAGGAGAAGAGGAGAGAGGAGTTTGTGATTGTTCCTGGTGAATCAAATCTTCATGTTTGGTCCATTTTCCTTTTTGTTCAGAGGAGCAGCGCTGCGCTTCAGACACGAGGTGGCGCTGTTGTTCTATTCACAAACACGTCACGTTTAAATAAAAGTTTGTAGCTGCTCATTTAAAACTAGTGAAGTGATTTTTGTGACGTCATGTGTTGCGTAAGTCCGCAGTTACTTTGATCTTTGTTTAATAAGTTGAAAACAAATTAAAAATTGTTTGTAATAAAGATTCAAAAATAAAAAGTTGTCGTATTTTTCCCGTCGTGTCCGCGTGCTGGTGTCGGTCCCTGTGCGCGCCCCCGCGGACACCGTGACACCCTCTGACGCTCGTGCGCGTGAGTGTGACGCTGGACACGGGAGCGCGCACGGTCATGATTTAAAACCGAGTGAAGCGCGCGCGGTGGAAAACCTGCCCCGCGCGCGCCTCTGCGTTTAGTCCGCTCCAAAACCGGACCGAGACCAGACCAGGACCGAACCAAACCGGACCAAAACAGAACCACAACAGAACCAGAACTGGACCAGGACTAGACCAGGACCGGACCGAAACAGAACCAGAACAGACCCAAGACTCACCAAAGCGCCTCAGAGTTGGATTTGGAAAAGTCGCTCCGGGACGTGACGCGATCTGGAGTTTGATTTGATTTGTGAAAAGTTTCTCTGAAGTTTGGATTTTTGATTTTCCGTTTTTGTTTTTCGCTCTGAGACTTTTGGAAAACCCCGGGTCTGGATCTGACCGAGTTCACAAACCGAGATGTGACCGGGGACACGGACAGACGCGCTTTTACGCACGAGATTCTGGATTAAATTTGGGCTCCGTGTTTCCCTGAAGGAAGAGACAGATTTTAAAAAGTCAAGTCTGGAAAGTGGAATTTTGATCAAACAAACAAACAAACAAACATCCCGAGGAGGAGCGCGGGACTCAGAAACATTAAAGACTTGATGTTTGAAACGCTGAAAGAAGAGACAGACAGTGACACTGCGCACGAGGCACGCACGAGCTGCTCAAGTTCACGCGTGATTTGAATAAAGATTTGGCTAAAATCTGAACCAAAAACAACAACAACAAGTGAAAAATAAACCGCTCCTCACCCTGACACTCGGACCAGAGAAAAGACCAAAGACCATCCAGAGGTTTGGATCACAGTCTGGGTCACAGATCACCGTGGACACGTTTGGCACAGCGCGCGCTTTACGCACAGAACTCGGACAACTTTATGAACATGGGGTTTTTGGAGATGTTTTCTAGAAGAATCTTTTCTCATGTCTAAACTCTCCTCAGACTGAGTGTGACGTAAAGACGTGAGCGACAAACGGCGGGTTATTCCAGGACAATGTCTGCAAACCTCCAGAGCGCACAAACTTTACGCACGGCACGCTCCAGACGCGCGGCCTCGCTGCACTGACCGTGGAACATGTGCGCGCTCCTGTTGCTCGTGCTCGTGTGGTGCGCGTGTTCCGTGCGCGGTGAGGCCTCGTGCGCCTCTTGTGAGCGCGTGCACGAGGAGGGGGAGCTGCGCGAGGCGGTGAAGCGGCACATCCTCACGCGCCTGCAGCTCAGCGCGCCCCCGAACATTACGCACGCGCTGCCGCGCGCCTCGCTGCTCACCGCGCTGCGCCGCGTGCACGCGGCAGTGCGGCAGGACGGGCGCGTGGAGCTGCCGCCCGAGCACCGCGCGGAGGAAAGCGCCGAGATCATCAGCTTCGCAGAGAGAGGTCAGAGCATGCGCAGTGCGCACTTTACACACCTGTGTGCCTCTGTATGTCTGTGCACAGGTACATGTACTTATACTTATACTTTTATACATGTGTGACCCTCTCCTCCCCCTCAGATGTAGTACAGACAGTATGTTGTATACGGTACATATGATGATGATGATGATGATGACGTGTCGTTCTTCTTCCTCAGACGAGTTGGTGACGTCACACTCTGGGATGTTCTTCGTCGTGTCAAATGAAGGTAATCAGAGTCTGTCTGTGTCTGAGGCGTCGCTGTGGCTTTACCTGCGCGTGCTCCCGGCCCCGCCCCCCGAGGCCCGGCCCTCAGAGCAGGCCCCGCCCCCTCCGCGCCGCCGGAGCCGTCGAGTGTCTTTAAAGCTGTACCACCAGGGGGCGGGCCTGAGCAGTGGGTGGAGCCTGGTGGAGAGGGGGGTGGAGCTTCGTCGTAGCGGCTGGCACAGGTTTGACCTGACGGCGGCGCTGCAGGGGCTGTTCCGGAGCGCCCCCCGCAGGCAGAGCGTGGACGTGCGCTGCGACGGCTGCGAGGAGGAGCGCGTGCGCCCCCTGCTGTTGGACGCGGACGCCGCGCGGAGGCCGTTCCTGGTGGTGCAGGCGCGGCGGGAGGAGGCGGGGCACAGGATCAGGAGGCGGGGCTTAGAGTGCGAGGAGGGGGCTGGGCTCTGCTGCAGGAAACAGTTCTACATCGACTTCCGGCTGCTGGGCTGGAGCGACTGGATCATCGCTCCCTCCGGTTACCTGGGAAACTACTGCGAGGGCAGCTGCCCGCCGCAGGGGGGCGCCGTCCCGGGCGCCGCCGCCTCCTTCCACAGCGCCGTCTTGAACCAGTACCGCCTCCGCGGCCTCGGCCCCGCCCCCTCCTCCTCCTGCTGCGTCCCGACCAAACTCGCCCCCATGTCCATGTTGTACTTCGACCACGAGTTCAACATCGTCAAACGAGACGTTCCGCACATGGTCGTCGAGGAGTGTGGATGTGTCTGACTATATATAACTATATATATATAACATTATATATAACATTATATATGTACTATATATAAAATATATGTACTAACATATATATGACATTATATATGTAGAGTATGTAACATATATGACGTGTTTGTAGAGCCTCATATACAGCACATATATGTAAATGTCATATATGTTATTTATCTTCTGCATGTTCTACATGTTCTACATGTTCTACATGTTCTATATGTTCTACATGTTCTACATGTTCTACATGTTCTATATGTTGTTCTATGTGTGATATAGACGAGGACGGGGGGAACACACAGAGGAGAACATCTGTGACAGGAGGAACATCTGAGTCGATATTTCACCTGAACAACAAGAGGAAATATCGGCCGATATCTGCCTCATGTGACACTGCAGCTTTAAAAAACATGCAAAAACCTGGACCAAACCTGGACTAAACCTGGACTAAACCTGGACCAAACCTGGACTAAACCTGGACCAAACCTGGACCAAACCTGGACCAAACCTGGACTAAACCTGGACCAAAGCTTTTCAGACCCGGTGTAGACCTGGTGTGGTCCAGGTTTAGTCCAGGTTTAGACTTTATTTTCTATATATTCATATATTTTTCTACACTTTTTTGAAGATTCTGTTTTTATCGTCACAGTTTTAAGGTGGAACCACAGTTTCCATGAGGCCTTTTTAAGGTGGACTGGGTTTGTGTTTTAAGCTGGACTGAACATTTGCTCTTTTCACTTCTAGTCCAAATGAAGGAGGTGTTTGACAGGTGCATGTGAGACAGGGCTTCACCTGTCAGACAGGTGCACTTCTTTAAAGATTTTAAGGTGGAATTGTTCCTATAAATAAAGTTAGATTCTTTATAATCGTCCAGTTTCCTGCAGCAGCTCAGATCAGATCTGTAGAAACAAACTGTTTTTATTTATGACTTTGGATTTTGGATTAAAACAAGTGAAAAAAACAACAAACGTGGATTTGGTTTTTTGTGTGTGTTTTTTTGTGTGTTTTTCTTGTTGTGAGAAAAGTTCATTTAAATCTCGTGTCTCTGTCGTAAAACATGAAGATCTCCCCAGGTTCAACAGAACAACACCTGAACAAGACCCTCACCTGTCCAGACCCTCACCTGTCCAGACCCTCACCTGTCCAGACCCTCACCTGTCCCAGACCCTCACCTGTCCCAGACCCTCACCTGTCCAGACCCTCACCTGTCCCAGACCCTCACCTGTCCAGACCCTCACCTGTCCAAGACCCCACCTGTCAGACCCTCACCTGTCCCAGACCCTCACCTGTCCAGACCCTCACCTGTCCAGACCTCACCTGTCCAGACCCTCACCTCCACCCTGTCCAAGACCCTCACCTGTCCAGACCCGACCTGTCCCAGACCTCACCTGTCCAAGACCCTCACCTGTCCCAGACCCTCACCTGTCCCAGACCCTCACCTGTCCCAGACCCTCACCTGTCCAGACCCTCACCTGTCCCAGACCCCACCCCAGACCCTCACCTGTCCAGACCCTCACCTGTCCCAGACCCTCACCTGTCCAGACCCTCACCTGTCCAGACCCTCACCTGTCCCAGACCCTCACCTGTCCAAGACCCTCACCTGTCCAGACCCTCACCTGTCCAGACCCTCACCTGTCCAGACCCTCACCTGTCCAAGACCCTCACCTGTCCAGACCCTCACCTGTCCCAGACCCTCACCTGTCCAAGACCCTCACCTGTCCAAGACCCTCACCTGTCCAGACCCTCACCTGTCCCAGACCCTCACCTGTCCCAGACCCTCACCTGTCCCAGACCCTCACCTGTCCAGTCCAAGACCCTCACCTGTCCAAGACCCTCACCTGTCCCAGACCCTCACCTGTCCAGACCCTCACCCTCACCTGTCCAGACCCTCACCTGTCAAGACCTGTCCAGACCCTCACCTGTCCAGACCCTCACCTGTCCCAGACCTCACCTGTCCAAGACCCTCACCTGTCCAGACCCTCACCTGTCCAGACCCTCACCTGTCCCAAGACCCTCACCTGTCCCAGACCCTCACCTGTCCAGACCCTCACCTGTCCAGACTCACCTTTGTACAGGTGAGGGCTTTGTACAGAGATCATGTCAGTCCAGACCAGGACTAGGATCATAACCAGATCTGAAGAGTCTAATCAGAGACTCTAAAACCTTTTATACACCAAAGAAAATATCTGGTTTTCCAAGAACTACCAGGACTAAACCAGGACTAAACCAGGACTAAACCAGGACTGAAACAGGACTGAAACAGGACTAAACCAGGACTAAACCAGGACTGAAAGGGGACTGAACCAAGACTAAACCAGGACTAAACCAGGACTAAACTAATCCTGACCTAACCCAGTTAGTCTTTGTGTTCTTACATAAGGGTCTTACAGGGTCTTAAAGGGTCCATATGGCAGGTCCCCCTCATGAATATTCATGACTTAATCTGGGACATATTTGGGACACGATCCAAGACCAGGACTGGGTCTAAGGGGGGTCTTTTTAACTGACGACAGACCGAGATCCACTGGAGACGAGCGCCTGAAATATGATTTTAAATTATTTTACTCATCCTGATCCAAAACTGGTTTAGTCCTGGTTTATAGTCCTGGTTTAGTCCTGGTTTAGTTCTGGTTTAGTTCTGGTTCAGTCCTGGTTTAGTCCTGGTTTAGTTCTTCTGGTTCGTATCATATTTAATGGATGTAAATATATGGTGGGATTATTTTCTAAACGTCCTCGTCTGTGTGAAGTTTAAACCTGGACCAGGATCTGGACCAGGATCTGGACCAGGATCTGGACCAGGATCTGGACCGGGATCTGGACCAGGATCTGGGTTGTTGTTTCTGTTGCTGCTCAGTGACCTGGACGTGTTTTGTTGTGAATCAGGTCAGATTCACCAAAACACAAAATAAAAAACTATTGATTTTGGCCTCGAGTCGAAGTCTCCAGACTGAAGAGACCAGGACCAGGACCAAGACCAGGACCAGGACCAGGACCAGGACCAGGACCGGACCAGGACCAAGACCAGGACCAAGACCAGGACCAGGACCAAGACCAAGGACCAGGACCAGGACCAAGACCAAGACCAGGACCAAGACCAGGACCAGGACCAAGACCAGGACCAGGACCAAGACCAGGACCAGGACCAGGACCAGGACCACCAGGACCAGGACCAGACCAGGACCAAGACCAGACCAAGACCACCAGGACCACCAGACCAGGACCAGGACCAGGACCAGGACCAAGACCAAGACCAGGACCAAGACCAAGACCAGGACCAAGACCAGGACCAAGACCAGGACCAGGACCAAGACCAGGACCAGGACCAGGACCAGGACCAGACCACCAGACCAGGACCAAGACCAAGACCAGACCAAGACCAAGACCAGGACCAAGACCAGACCAAGACCAGGACCTAGACCAAGACCAGACCAGACCAGGACCACCAGACCAGACCAAGACCAGGACCAAGACCAGGACCAAGACCAGGACCAGACCAAGACCAGGACCAAGACCAAGACCAGGACCAGGACCAGGACCAGGACCAAGACCAGGACCAGGACCAGACCAAGACCAAGACCAAGACCAGGACCAGGACCAGGACCAGGACCAGGAAGGACCAAGGACCAGGACCAGGACCAGGACCAGGACCAGGACCAGGACCAGGACCAGGACCAAGACCAAGACCAGGACCAAGACCAGGACCAGACCAAGACCAGGCAGACCAGGACCAGGACCAGGACCAAGACCAAGGACCAAGGACCAAGACCAAGACCACCAGACCAGGACCAGGACCAGGACCAGGACCAGACCAAGACCAGGACCAGGACCAGGACCAAGACCAAGGACCAGGACCAGGACCAGGACCAGGACCAAGACCAGGACCAGACCAGACCAGGACCAGGACCAGGACCAGGACCACCAGGACCAAGGACCAGGACCAGGACCAAGACCAGGACCAGGACCAAGACCAAGGACCAGGACCAGGACCAGGACCAAGACCAAGACCAGGACCAGACCAAGACCAAGACCAAGACCACCAAGACCAGGACCAGGACCAGGACCAAGACCAGGACCAGGACCAAGACCAGGACCAGGACCAAGACCAAGACCAGGACCAGGACCAAGACCAAGACCAGGACCAAGGACCAAGACCAGGACCAGGACCAGGACCAAGACCAGGACCAGGACCAGACCTACAGACCAGGAGCTGTTCACCTGATGACATCACGAGGTGGAGCAGAGCGTCTGCAGATGTCGACAGACTCATGATAAAGAGTCTGGATATTTGGGGCTTCAGGAGTTTTTTTTAAACACTAAACGTGAGATTTGAGCACAAAGACCAGGACCAGATCCTGGTCCTGGTCTTTGTCTGGTCCTGGTCCAGACCCGGGACTTTCTGAATGTGACCATGTTCTTTTGTTTTGAGTCAGAAACTCTGCGAGGTCAGTTTGGAACCAGGACTAAACCAGGACTAAACCAGGACTAAACCAGGTCTAAACCAGGACTAAACCAGGTCTAAACCAGGACTAAACCAGGTCTAAACCAGGTCTAAACCAGGACTAAACCAGGTCTAAACCAGGTCTAAACCAGGTCTAAACCAGGTCTAAACCAGGTCTAAACCTGGACTAAAACAGGACTAAACCAAGTCTGTCCCAGGTCTGTGGGATGATGGGCAGGTGGGCAGGTGGACAGGTGGACAGGTGGACAGGTGGACAGGTGCAGGTCCTGTGTGACCCGGGGGGGGGGGGGGGCAGTGGGGGCAGTGGGGGCGTTAAAAGGTTGTGGGTTCGATTCCCGGGGGCTGGGCCTTTGTGCCTCTGAACAGGATCCGTGTTGTGAAGGTCACTTTAGCACCGACGCTTTTCACTTCACACAAAACCCCCAGACCCACTATCTGATCCCAGTCCGGTTATGATCCTGGACTAAGAAAGACCGGGTCTGGGCCTCGCTGATCCACCCTGATACAGACGGCTCCTCTTTCCACCTCTAGACCTGGTTCAGTTCTGGGTTAGTCCCGGTTTTCAGACCTCACAGAGTCCAGGACTAAAACAGGACTAAACCAGGATCATAACTGGACTAAAAACAGAACTAAACCAGGACTGGACTAAAAACAGAACTAGACCAGGATCAAAACTGGACTAAAAACAGAACTAAACCAGGTCCAAAAACACTACTAAACCAGGATCAAAACTGGACCAAGACTTGGACTAGACCAGACCCAAAACCAGGTCCACTTTTCTTTATGTCCAGGATTTAAAACCTGGTTGGTGAAGTGCAGTATTTTTACGTCAGATGCCCTTCCGTTTGTTCCAGTTTAAAGTTTGGTGTTTTGCGGACGCCATTTTGAGGACTTGTGAGGCCTGATGTGAAGAGTGCGTTAGTTTGTTGCCGCGGCGACGGCAGAGATGAGTTTGTGTCAGTTTGTGAGCTGTAAATATGTAAATGTTGTCCCAGATGATTTAAATATGTAAATGTGGGTTTGTGTTGATTATTCTTCTTATGATAATTTGATGTTAATGAGCTGCAGAAGAACAAAGGCTTATGAGTTCGGGAGGGGGCGGGGCCTGGGGGCGGGGCCTGGGAACAGCGCCTCATTTGCATAAACACAAAACACAAAGATTGAAATCGGATCATTTACATCTGTTTATTTTAATCTGATTAAAACACAAAACTCAAAGACAAAAAATCAAGATTCAATCAGAAATATTTATGCAAAATATTTTTACATCAAATTTTACATTTTAATAAATTAGAATATTAAAAAACTACAAAAACTACAAGTACTACTACTACTACTACTACTACTACTACTACTACAACTACTACAACTACTACTACAACTACTTCTACTACTACAACTTCTACAAATACTACAACTACTACTACTACTACTACTACTACAGATACTACAACTACTACAACAAGTACTACAACTACAACAACTACTACTACTACTACAAATACTACAACTACTACAACAAGTACTACAACTACAACAACAACTACTATTACTACAACTACAACAACTACTACTACAAATACTACAACTACTACTACTACTACAACTACTACAACAAGTACTACAACTACAACAACAACTACTATTACTACAACAACTACAACAACTACTACTACTACTACAACTACTTCAAGTACAACTACTACAACAACTACTACAAGTACTACAACTACTACTACTACTACTACAATGAGTACTACAACTACAACAACTACTACTGGTTTAGTTCTGGGTTAGACCCTCTTTAGTCCTGGTTTAGTCCTGTTTAAGTCCAGTCTTAGTCCGGGTCTGTCAGGACTTGAATGGGGACGAGATCTGATAAACCTGGAGCCAGACTTGGTCCAGTGAGTCCGGACAGAGACCTGGACTAAAGCCACAGAGGGACTCAACAGAGACCTGGATGGTTAGACCTAGACCTGGTTTCAGAGTCCTGGTTCAGACTGGTGGTTCAGACCTGGTTAGTCCTGGTTTAGACCTGGGTTTAGACCTGGTTTAGACCTGGTTTAGTCCTGGTTCAGACCTGGTTCAGTCCTGGTTTGGTTCAGACCTGGTTTAGTCCTGGTTTAGACCTGGTTCAGACCGGTTTAGTCCTGGTTCAGACCTGGTTTAGTTCCTGGTTACCGGTTTAGACCTGTTTAGTTCAGACCTGGTTCAGACCTGGTTTAGTCCCTGGTTTAGTCCTGGTTTCAGACCTGGTTCAGACCTGGTTTTCCTGGTTTAGTCCTGGTTTAGTCCTGGTTCCAGTCCTGGTTCAGACCTGGTTTAGACCTGGTTCAGACCTGGTTTAGTCCTGGTTCAGTCCTGGTTTTAGACCTGGTTTAGACCTGGGGTTCAGACCTGGTTTAGTCTGGTTTAGACCTGGTTCAGACCTGGTTCAGACCTGGTTTAGTCCTGGTTCAGACCTGGTTCAGTCCAGGTTCAGACCTGGTTTAGACCTGGCTCAGTCCCGGTTTAGTCCTGGTTCAGTCCTGATTTAGACCTGGTTTAGTCCTGGTTCAGACCTGGTTCAGACCTGGTTTAGTCCTGGTTCAGACCTGGTTTAGTCCTGGTTCAGACCTGG